GAATTAGTATTAATTAATGAAATATTAGACGATTCGTAAGTTTAAAATCTTAAATAAAATCTAATTTATAATTATAAAATATTAATAAGATAAAATTTCAATTTTTAAATTAATTTGATTACTTGAGGCGCCATCTATACATAAAAAAACGTACCAATAAGAAAGTGGGTAATAAAGTAATTTTTAACCCGTTTTAATTAATTACTAACCATAAAGTACTTTTTGTAAGTAATTATGTTCTAATTAATTTAACAATTATAATTTATGATGTGTACGAAAAAATAATTCCCAACCTAACATCATTATTGTTTTCATAACCTCAAATTTATTTTTTTTTAATAACCTTAATCAAAGTCTTCATAATCTACCCCAAATAGGATTATATGCAATTCAGTTTGTAATAAATAATGTGCTTAGAGTAATATAGAATAGAATAAGTTTAAACCAACCTTAGTTTTAAGCCAGTCCAAATAAAGGATTAGTTGAGCTTAAAAATACGGGGTTAAACGGAATTTTAACCCTATCCTGGTCCATATTAACCAAACCACAACACTTTATCGTATTTAAAATCATCTCGTTATTTAATAACTAATTTTTTTGAATCAAGAACTGTTCCACTTAAATAATTTGACAAATTAGATGTGCAACATTTTTTTAGGTTATGTATCTAACCTGAAATTAGAAACAAATCATAAAAATCACTTTAATAAAGATAATTTTGAATCAAAAATTGTTAAATTATAAATTAAAAGGGCATTTAGGCGCTAATACATCGAAATTAAGATAAAATTTCAATTTTTAAATGTCGAAATTAATTTGATTACTTGACGCGCCATCTATACATAAAAAAACGTACCAATAAGAAAGTGGGTAATAAAGCAATTTTTAACCCGCTTTAATTAATTACTAACCATAATGTACTTTTTGCTAAGTAGGCAATTGTGTTTTAATTAATTTACCAATTATGATTTATGGTGTGTACGAAAAAATAATTCCCAACCTAACCTCATTATTGTTCTCATAACCACAGAATAAAATCGTTCAAATGGTATCGAGATTAAATAATTAATCTTACCTTTACAATAAAGTCATATTTGAGTTTTAAATCAACTCATTTCTTTCAGAATTAGCCCAAAACAGCGATGGTATTATCAGAAAAAGATTTATTCTGTAAATAATTATAATATTAGTACTTTAAATACAGTTGTTTATGATCTTACCTTGTGTACAAAATATTTGTATTGCATAATTAAAATAAACTTATTTATTATTTCCCCATGAATTTGATTCATTTTAGTTTAAATAACCGTCTTCAGTCTGAGTTGAGTTTCTCGATCATCAAATCGTAGTCGATAGAGAATAAACAGGAAGAGAAAAACTTACGATTTATAACTCCTAAAAGATATGTTAATCGTTTAAATCAATTTCACTCTTTATTTTTGTTGAATTTACCACAATTTTTATATTTAGAGATAATTATTAATTACAAAAAGTGAGGTTAAACACAAGTTTTGACAACCTATTTGATCGCCATGAGTACCAACCTCAAAGTGGCAAATTGAGAGGTTATTAAATTCGTTTAAAAAATTTATCTATTCGTTAAAATAAAACGATTTTTGTTGCGTTACACACGGAAAGAATCAAAATTATTTATTTAACCGCTTTTGTATCATTTAAACTTGTTTATTTTAAAAAATTGTTTATCTTTTAAAGCGAAAAATGGTTGGTAATTGAAAGAATTAAATCAATAATAATTAGATTTTAATTTTTAATAACAATTTTAATTAAAATTAGGTTTAATTTACGCCTTTTTTTTAGATCATTTCTAATTTAATTATTAATATTTAAAGACAACGCTAGAACATAATATTAATACAGCTAGTTACCAAAAGATGGCGCTAGTGTGAAATTTTTTTGTCACACGTTTTAAATAATGTAAATAATGTTTAATTAATTTTGTAAGCTAATTATTGAAATATTAGACAATGCGTAAGTTTAAAATCTTAAATAAAAACATAAAATATTAATAAGATAAAATTTCTAATTTTTTTTTTATTTGTTAGCTTATGCTTCCCCCCGAAATTTAAAACGCTGCAAATTAAACGTAAATAATTTATTAGATTAACTTTGATTATAATTAGTGATTATTGCATCTCGAAATTTTTAAAAATTAATTTGGATTTAAAAACAAACATAACCTCAATTTTTTAAATTTGCTAAAACGAAAAATAATCATTTTCAAAACTTATACGTTTATTTTTGGTGTATTTTTCTCAAAATATAAACAAAAATATAATGATTTTGATTCATTTTGGTTTAAATTACCTTTAAATTCCGTCTTCAGTCACCACTTAATTATTTCTTCAAATTTAGCGAACTAAAAGTTATCAGAGTCACAAAAAAAAAACTGCCAGAATGTTTTTACATAAATTTGGACGAATTTTATGTGTCTCGCACAATCTTTATATTTAGAGATAATTATTAATTACAAAAAGTAAGGTTAAGCACAACGAATTTTGACAACTCTATTTGTTCATACTTCACCGCCATGAGTACCAACCTCAAAAAGATAAATTGAAAGGTGATTGTGTCATTACAAAAAATGTTTATTATTAAAGTGGGTGCCAAAATGTATTTATTCCTTAAAATAAAAGGATTTTTGTTGCGTTAACACGCGGAAAGAATTAAAATTATTTATTTTTGTATTATTTAAACTTGTTTATTGTAAAAAATTATTGCTTTTTTAAAGCGAAAAATGGTTGGTAATGGAAAAAAAATTAAATCACCAATTGGATTTTATCGGAATAAAATTAAAAAGGTAATAATATAATAAATATTAATACTTACTAGAATTGTTATTATAGCCTATCAACAATATCAAATGTTTATATTTATTTAAATATTAATACAGCTAGTTATCAAAAGATGGCGCTAGCTTTGGTAANTCACCAATTGGATTTTATCGGAATAAAATTAAAAAGGTAATAATATAATAAATATTAATACTTACTAGAATTGTTATTATAGCCTATCAACAATATCAAATGTTTATATTTATTTAAATATTAATACAGCTAGTTATCAAAAGATGGCGCTAGCTTTGGTAACATTTAGTTAGGACATTTAATTATTTAATTTTGTAAGTAGAATTAGTATTAATTAACTAAATATTAGATGATCTAACCTCATTATTGTTTTTATAACCTCAAATTTATTTTTTTTTAAATAACCTTGATCAAATTCTTCATAATCCAACCTAAATAGGATTATATGCAACTCAGTTTGTAACAAATAATGTGCTTAGAGTAATATAGAATAGAATAAGTTTAAACCAACCTTAGATTTAAACTAGTCCAAATAAAGGATTAGTTGAGCTTAAAAATTCAGGGTTAAACACAATTTTAACCCTTTCCTGGACCATATTAACCAAATCACAACACTTTATCGTATTTAAAATCATCTCATTATTTAATAAATAATTCTTTTGAATCAAGAACTCTTCCAATTAAATAATTTAACAAATTAGATGTGCAAAATTTTCTTAGGTTATGTATCTAACCTGAAATTAGATATAAATCATAAAAATCACTTTAATAAAGATAATTTTAAATCAAAAATTGTTAAATTAGAAATTAAAAAGTCATTTAGGCGCTAATACATCGAAATTAAGATAAAATTTCAATTTTTAAATGTCGAAATTAATTTGATTACTTGACGCGCCATCTATACATGAAAAAACGTACCAATAAGAAAGTGGGTAATAAAGCAATTTTTAACCCGTTTTAATTAATTATTAACCATAAAGTACTTTTTGTAAGTAATTATGTTCTAATTAATTTACCAATTATAATTTATGGTGTGTACGAAAAAATAATTCCCAACCTAACCTCATTATTGTTTTCATAACTTCAAATTTATTATTTTTTTTAAATAACCTTGATCAAATTCTTCATAATCCACCCCAAATAGGATTATATGCAACTCAATTTGTAACAAATAATGTGCTTAGAGTAATATAACATAGAATAAGTTTAAACCAACCTTACATTTAAACTAGTCCAAATAAAGGATTAGTTGAGCTTAAAAATTCAGGGTTAAACACAATTTTAACCCTATCCTGGACCATATTAACCAAATCACAACACTTTATCGTATTTAAAATCATCTCGTTATTTAATAAATAATTCTTTTGAATCAAGAACTCTTCCACTTAAATAATTAGACAAATTAGATGTGTAAAATTTTTTTAGGTTATGTATCTAACCTGAAATTAGATAGAAGTCATAAAAATCACTTTAATAAAGATAATTTTAAATCAAAAATTGTTAAATTACAAATTAAAAAGTCATTTAGGCGCTAATATATCGAAATTAAGATAAAATTTCAATTTTTAAATGCTGAAATTAATTTGATTACATGACGCGCCATCTATACATAAAAAAACGTACCAATAAGAAAGTGGGTAATAAAGCAATTTTTAACCCGTTTTAATTAATTATTAACCATAATGTACTTTTTGCTAAGTAATTATGTTCTAATTAATTTACCAATTATAATTCCCAATCTAACCTCATTATTGTTCTCATAACCATAGAATAAAATCGCTCAAATGATATGGAGATCATATTAGTACATTAAATATAGTTGTTTATGATCTTACCTTGTGTAGAAAATGTTTGTATTGCATAATTAAAATAAACTTATTTATTATTTCCCCATGATTTTGATTCATTTTAGTTTAAATAACCGTCTTCAGTCTGAGTTGAGTTTCTCGATCATCAAATCGTAGTTGATGGAGAATAAATAGGAAGTGAAAAACTTACGATTTATGACTCCTAAAAGATATGTTAATCGTTTAAATCAATTTCACTCTTAATTTTTGTTTAATTTACCACAATTTTTATTAATTACAAAAAGTGAGGTTAAACACAACAAGTTTTGACAATCTATTTAACC